CTGTATGAACCAAGAAATATAATTCTAGAAAGGTGTCCTGAAGATGTATTTGGAGATTGGCAGTAAACAGCACACCTGTATCTTTCATATTTTTTTATCTGTGAATAAATTGGACATAACCAGTAATCTAATTTACTTCATCTTTTGTTAAGACATTTAAAGCACATCTAAAGGCTGAGTTAACATAAAGATATTAAAAATCATGGTCAACAATATAGAAAAAGTCTACTTTTTAAAAAATATTTCTTTTAGAAATAGAGCACTCATGCACGTGCACACGTAAGGGGGGTATCTGGGGGGGGGGTCTCCAGCAGACTCCCCACTGAGAGGGGTAAGAAGTGGGGCCAAACAGAAATTGATTCCACAACCCTGACATCATGACCTGAACCAAAATCAAGAGTCGGCAGCTTAACCAACTGAGCCACCCGGCCCAAGAAAAGGTTTTTAATAACTGCAGCAATCTGACATCTCCTCCAAGATTTTTACAAGTTTTAACCCACCAGAAATATTAGGGTAGTACATTCCAGTGCCTCTCAATCTAGCTGCATCATAGAATCAACTAAGGAAATAATGAGTTAAGAACTCGAATGTAAACGCCTTTACCCATAAAAAAGCTCAACCACACTCATATTAAAAGAGAATCATAAAAAAAAAGAGAGAGAGAATCATATCAAAATACACTGAGATACCATTTCTCACCTATCAGATTGACAAACACCCATCGGTCCACATCATACTCTGTTATCAGGATATAGGGAAATTCTCTTACACTGTTGGTAAGATCACAAAATGGCAAAACTCCTATGGAGAGGAATTTCGCAGAATCTAGCAACAGCTACAAAGTTACATATACATTTATCCTTTGCCTTAGCAAACTTCAATTACAGGAGTTTATCTCAGAGACACACTAGCAAAAATATGTATGCACCAGCTAATCTTGGCAGAACTTTTGCTACAGCAGAAGAATGCAAATGAGTAGATTTGGTACATCTACCAAGTGGAGCAATAAGCAGTTTAAGAAGAAATAACAGGTATTTCTACCCTGATCCCTAGGATACACTTTTAAAGTTTTTATTATAATTCCTATTAGTTAACATACAGTGTAATATTAGTTTCACGCGTACAACTTAGTGATTTAACACATACACTTTGAAAAAGAAAAAAAAAACAAAATATATGCTACAGTTTATCAAAGGAGAGGGAGAAGCATATATACATACACACAAGCAGACCACCTCTTTTTTGAAACAAAATTTTTTAAGATTCTTATATTAGGAGAGATTAAGAACATACAGATGAGAATAGAGGCTAGATTTGTCAAAATAGTTGGCTTTATAGATTTGGTTTTGGAAGAGGTAAATTTTACATAATTACACACTAGAAGGTAAGTTTTTGAAAACTAAAAAATGAAAGCTAAATGAAACTATACACTGAGTTGGTGGTTGAGACTGCATAAATTTAATGACAAATTTACAGAAAACACAAGGAAAAGAGAAACATAAAACCACACACAAGGATACCATCAGCAATATCCAAATATGAGAAATTCTGAATGACAGAGGATCCAGTTTCCTCAACAATAAATTACAAAAAAAAAAAGAAAAGGGGGGGGGCCCTGGGTGGCTCAGTTGGTTAAGCGTCCCACTCTTGGTTTTTGGCTCAGGTCATGATCTCACGGTCCTGGGATGGAGCCCCTAGTCAGGCTCGGTGCTTAGCAGGGAGTCTACCTGAGATTCTTTCTGCCTCTCCCTTTGCCCCTCACCCTGCTCATGCTCACTCACACTCTAAAAGAAAAAAAAGAAAGAAAATAAGGTGCATGGAGCCTGCTTAAGGTTCTCTCTTGCTCTGCCCCTCTTCTGCTATACTCCCCACCCCACAAATTCTCCAAAACAAAAACAAAAATGCACACACAACAGGAAGCAATTTCCCAGTCCAGGCAGGTATCACATACATGGTGCTGTAGCAGAGAAACACTGCTATCTCCAGCATTCAAATCATCCACAAAATATGATGAACAGTTAGGGGGGCATAGATTACACAAAGTTAAGAACTAAAGTTGTAAATATACATCAAATGAATCAACACAAACCATAACAGAAACGAAATACATAGTGAGATACAGAAAAGATATGAGGAGCATTAAAGCCTCATTGCATTTTCCAGGTGACTCAAATTTCTCTTCTGATTTATCCAAAATCAGTGCATCCATACTACCTTATTTTGTCCAAGACATACTGCAAATTCAGTGGAGTTTAAATTAAAAAAAGTTAAAGGCAATGGGGGTGTTTCCCTGCAATAAACGAACTTATTCTCTAAGACCTTGACTTTAAATATACACATACACATTTAACTATATATGCAGTATATAAATAAAATACGAAATATATACGAACCCAGGAAAAGTGATCACATTGAGTTTGTGTGTTTAGTTACCCATCCCAGAGAGGCTTTTTAGGCATACAGTGATACTTTCCAAAATGTTTTTGAGATCAGGGAAAAGAAAAATATTTTTCAATGAAGTTTAAGGACAATATGTTTCCACTCTTTTATGAATACCATTAACTCTGAACAGATTAAGTTCTTTAGGGCTGAGGTACAGATTGCCTGAAAAAAATATTGTAGTAAGAGAATATACAGCTTTTTAGGGCAGGCCATTTGAGAGAAAAATGATGAACTCAGCTAAATGGAAACTGGGATATTCAATGACTGGACATGGGAGGGAGTAACCTGAAGTCTGAGAAGGCAAGTTGGAGGGAGGAGAAAGAAACTACCCTGGGGAAGATAAAGGAAATATTTTTAGACAGGTGAGATGCTGACTAAGCACGTTCTATCACTAGGAACAGAATTACCAGTTAGATCAATACCTCAAATACTGATTAAACAGATGTTTTATAAATATTTGCTAACTAGTCTATGATAATTAAAACTGCTTTGGCAAACACTGTGTTCAAACTGAATCTAGCTTGACTTGTACTTCTGGTTTATTAAACCTTTTCTTGGGCTTTATTTTCCAGCCCATTAACTTTCTAAGTATTCTCTAAAATGTCTTCAAAGTTTCTATTCCTCTACTTTTATTTAAATATACAAAATGTTAACTAGACTTTAGAATTATTAGGGAAAAAAATTTGTACTTAAAAGGATCTGTAGGTTTTCTATAAAAAGTATGAGTTATTTCGAAATAAATACTTTTTCCTTCTTAAGCTTAGTTCTACAACCAAACATACCATTTCAGGGAAGTGCACCTGATGTAGTTTTCCTATTCAGTATTTCAACTTTTCTAATGTCTTAAGATTTTTGTCCTTTGGTTTTTTTTGGTTGGTTTTCTGTTTTTGTTTTTTGTAACCTAAAAGTAATTTCTAGCAGACAACTCATAACTCAGACCATTTTATCATTTCATGGATAAAAGATTACTATCTATTATCCTTAAAATGAGAGTAGTCTTTAATAACAATGACTTTTATCCTAGTACTTCTAGAATGAAAAGAGAAGCACAGCATATTAATGAAACTACCAAAAAGAGCTCTATACAGAATATTTTCCTCTCTACAGAAGCCACTCACTGCTGGATAAGAAATAGCAATACGACACTTCATCATTTAATATCACATGTTTATATTCAACTCTCAGTTCTCAAAACTACTTTGATATCCCCTTTAGTTTTTCACAGTGCTTTTTCTCTGAAAAGATCCAAATATTGTAGATGGCTTTTTCATGGGACTTGCAAATCAGAAAGAAAAAAACAGGAGAGGAGGACAGAAGGAAAAAAAAAAAAAAAAGCAGGGTGGGGAGGGAGTAGGGAGAAAGAAATTAAGTCAATTTCAAATATAAAATATTAAAGATTTTACATGCTGTGGTGGAATAATAAGCACTGCAAGCCAAGAGACGGGCTTCAAGTCCCACTCCTGCCGGTAACCAGGCAGCTATGCAACTTTCTGTGAGTCACTTAATTACGGTTTTTAAATTGTTCAAAAAAAAAAAGTGATTTTTGACTTTAATGTTCATCTTAAACCCGGCTTTTCAAAATCTACTACAACTAAAGTTATTTTCAGATATTGCATTATCGCAACACCTCAATTAAAAGTACGTCACTTTGCCACACGGGAGTCCTTCCTCCACTTTTGTCAGTTTGACCTGCGGCCTGAATTACTTAGATCGCATGTTGGAGATGTACTTCGGGGGGGGGAAAGAGGGGGCTGGGCAAACAGGCCTTTATACGAGGGGATGGAGCCACGCAGGTGAGGGGGTTTAGGAATGAGTGCAAATGTATGCAGAAGCCCTGGTCATTCTCAAACCAGGAGCACTGGGAAAAAAAAGAGAGAGAGAGAGAGAGAGTGAGTGAGTTCTGCTTCAATTTCTAGGAGGGGGCGGGGGAGGGATGTGTGACAAAAATGGGAGGCAGGCCGTGAGGTGAGGTTTTCAGGAAAATCCGTCTCCACCCTTCAAACCTGTATTCCCCGGGGTGGACTGCAAACCTGCCTCCAGTTCCGGGTTCCCAGCCAATCGCATCAGGCCACAACAGAGGGCTCCGCCAACCCCGGGCACCGCTGCCGGGCTCCAGGGCGAGATTCACTCGACCCCAGCACCTGTCGGCCTTCCCAAAGGGAGGGGTGGGAGGGAGGAGCAGGGCTCTCTCTCTCTCTCTCCCGCCCCTTCCGATCCCAGCTACCGCCAGAGCCCTGGAGCCTGAGACCACCTCCGTCGGTCAGGCTGGGGGAAGGGAGAGCTCCTCGCCCGTGACCCTCCCACGTATCCTTCCCCCACGGCCAGTTCTCCAGGCTACAGGTCCCAGCCTCCACCGTGGCTTCTCAGGCCGCGGGCGCCCTGGGCCGGGGAGGCGTACGCACGGATGCGGAGAGCGGGGGCAGCGCGGGAGGATGCACTCCCCGCCACCGGACACAAGATAGGAAGGCAAGGGTGGGGGCAGCGGTGCTCCCGCTTAGCGAGGGCGCGAGGCCGTCCGGGCGTCCGTCGAAGGGTCTGTCATTCCTTCACTCACTCACCAGGAGCAGCAGGGAGCATCTGAGGTCGGGTAAGGATAGGAAGACGGCAGGATTCATGGTAACGCCGGGGTTCGCGGCTGGGACTGGGCAGGGTTGGGCTGGGTTTAGGAAAGGGCTGGGCTCCGGGAGCCGGCGGCGGCGGACGGCCCTCCCGGCAGCGGCACCTCGTCCTCTGGACCCGGAGCTCCAGCAGCGAACACCCGGGACAACTTCCAGAGAGGCCTCGCACACCCTCACTTCCGGGTCCTGCCCACCTCGGAGCATATTGGGAAACGTAGTCGCGCACCGCTCTCACCGAGCACGTCATCGGGCATCTAGAACTTCTTTCCCATCGGGCTCTCGGCCCAGCTCCACCGAGTCCTCCGCGCGCGGGGTCCTGTGGGAAACCAAGGGCGGAGGGCGGCGAACCTCTGCGTTTAGGGGATTGGGAACTACGATTCCCAGAGGGCAGCGCGGTCGAGCGCCTCGGGCGGCCTTCGGAGGGGTTCTCCTAGTTTCAGCTCGCTGGGGTCTCTCCCAGCCGGATGTAGTGTACGGTCCTGGCGGGAGGGGCGGCCCGCTGGGGGTCGTACCTCCTGGAGCCGCCCCCGGGACGTGAGTCCTGGAGGAGGCGAGGGTGAGTAGGAAGGGGCCTGTGGCTGGGGAAGCTCCGATCGCTCTGCACTGCCTTGGCCCCCGCCTCAGGCTCCCGGGCCCTCCTGGCCTGGGCTGTGTGGCCTCCTGATCCTTCATCACTGGCCTCCTCGCCTGCTGCCTCTTCTTTTCTGCACTAATTACTGCACTATAAAGTCGGAGCCAGCTCTCGGGGCCTCCGCTGAATGAGTCGATGACTTATCCCTAATTGTCTCTGCGGGCTCGTGCAGGGAGCAGATACGGGAGAAAATGAGAAAGCACGTTCTAAACTGAAAAGCTCGGTGGCGGCTGTGATTGCTGCTAATGCATGGATCACTCGGACAGGATGGTTAACGAAATTCATTAGCCCAGCAACGGAGGATCCTAATCTGGCCCTAGTTGGCTCCCCAGCTTCATCTGCCAACACCGAGCCAGGTCCACGTGTCCCAGATACTAGCCACACAATCCGTACTAAGTACCTGGGAGGCATTCTGCTTTCTTTTTTCTTTTTTTCCTTTTTTTTTTTTTTTTTTTTTTTGCATTCTGCTTTCTTGAGGTTCTCCCTACTTTTTGCCTGTACTCTAGCTTTCCTGCTGCGGTGGAATGGCCTTAGCCCCTTCTCTATCTGGAATGCCATCTCAAATGTCACCATCTCTGAGAACTTAAAAAAAAAAAAAAAAACAAACAAAAAAACCAGCCCTTTAGTCCTAATCAGAATGACTCTTCCCTTTGCTGACTTGCTGACTGACTACAGCACCACTAGTTTTGTACAGTTATAATTATCAGAGCATCTATTACACTGGCTGGTTTTATAATTAATGATACCTGTACATTTTATGACACTTTATAATTGATGAAGTGGTTTTGCTCTTCAGCTATAAAAATCATTTACCAAAAAACAGCGCCATAGTGTGTGTGTGTGTGTGTGTGTGTGTGTGTATTTTGTGCTAAAAAAAAGGACCCTAGAGAATACTTTTCCCAGGGTGACAAAATTAGGTGGTGGCAGAGCCAAGACTTAGGTCTCTCTTTCTCTCTCTCTCCTCTCCTAGTCCTGTGTTCTTATTTCTATACCACTCACTACCTCTCTGACACAAGAGACAGAAATGGGGAATTAAAGAGCAGACGCTCATGAGTATGACGTCTTTAGTCCAAGAAATTAAACTTTGATCCTGCTCACCTTCTGGACTTAGCACTCCCCTGTGACTTTTCATTGGACAAACATTTACTGATACCGGCTATGTATGAACCTGTTACTGTGCTAAGTGCTAACAATTGTGAGGTGAAATGTATATAACTGACATCAGATTTTAGTGTATTTTTCAAAGGGTATGAAGAGGTGTGTGTGTGTGTGTGTGTGTGTGTGTGATTCTGATATGCCTAAAACTTTGGCCACTTAGAAATGACATGTATTAGAATTCGGAACAGTGCCTAGCACACAGCACTCGACTTATTGAATGAATCAACATAGTCTACCTTTGTCATCGTTCATATTTTACTGAAAATCCTAGAGCTGAGGTAGCCTAAGGGCACGCTGCTTATTATTAACAGAATCAGGCCTAGGGCCCACATGCAATTCCTCCTTTCCTCTGTATCTACCTCCACCCATTTTGTAGCTTCTTTCAAGTCACTTTAACATAATCCTGCCTGTGACAGTGGTTTTTCTGACATGACAGGAGTGTCTCACAAAGCCCATATTTTCTGCCAGCATGTTAACTCAAATTGTCAGCAAAATAAAGACATGAAGCACTGACCTTTACCAAAATTAAGAAAACGCTTTCAGTTTAAGGCAAAATTTGAACCAATAATCCTTGTCAGTGACAATGCAAGTACTAGCTCATCAGTAGTGATAAATTCCTCCTCCAAAGCTCCCAGATCCTCGGGAGTCAGAGACTGGAGTGACACTTTTTGGTGAAATCCAAAGAGGGCTTGTCTGACCTTTTGGCAGCTGTTAACTGGCTGATTAGCAGCTGTTTCCTTTAGATATGCATGTGTGCCCCAGAGTGCCATGCTCTCCAGGACTCCCATTTGTTTCTTACACTTTTTACCTTCCTGGTCCTTGCAGGCATTCAACTCAGAAACTTTGATATAGCATCTTACTTTTAGGAAGGAAGTTTAAAATCAGTGATGCAACCACCATTTTTTCCTTCCCATCAGGTGTTTATATTCTTCATGCTGCCTTTCTGACATAACCCAGCCTCTGCTTCAACAGTGTTATGCTGGAGAACTCACCATTTTTCTATGCAGCTAATGCATTTCTAGAAGGTTCTATGAAACCATATCCGACTACCAGTCAGAACAAAATTTTCTTAATGATCCTAATGATGTAGTAATATCCAAAGGTCAAGATCTCAAGCTAGGTATATTTCCTTGGTGAGCATAAGGAAAGAACAAATAAAAATTCTTCCATTCAGCAACATGAGAGAAAGAACTAAGTTTTATTTATTCATTTATAGAACCAAGTACCTTTTAATTTAGCACTTAAATCTACTTGATTTTGGCCTCATAATTAAGTTCACATCATGCCCATTTTGTGGCTTATCATCTTGATTCCCAGTACAGTTCTGATGTTTAGTACTATGTGGAATCAAGTCAGAAGTCACTATGGTTTTTGAGGCCTATGCCTAAGGTTAAATACTGAGTCTCCCTTTTTTCCCTTAGATAACCCCTGAGAAGAGTCTTAGAAGCATCCAACCCTCTCATTTTACAGATGAGCAGCTTGTACAAAGGGTCATCTAATTTGCCATATTATGGCAATTCTAGATAGGACCAAGACACCAGACTTTTTGAATCCTAGTCAAATAATTCTTTTTTTTTTAAAGATTTTATTTATTTATTTATTTGAGAGAGAGAGCATGTGCAGAGGGGAGGGAAGGGGCAGGGAGAGAGGGAGAAACAGACTCCCTGCTGAGCAAGGAGGCCCCAATGTGGGCTCAATCCCAGGACCCTGGGATCATGACCTGAGCCAAGGCAGACACTTAACTGACTGAGCCACCCAGGCTCCCCCCTCATCAAATATTTCTATTCAGCCATATTTATAATATACCCACTTAGGACTGATGAGGCAGCTTTTAGAAATGTTTTCTGCATATACTCATAGTTTAAACATTGTTTCAGGGTGCTCTAGTTGTTGAGAAGACTATGAACAGATCAGAGAACTTGTTCTTTTCTGGCTCCTCATTAGCATCCCAAGTTCATGCTGCTGCTATTAATGGAGATAAAGGTGCTCTTCACAGACTCATCATAGGTAAGTAGTCCCCATAAATACAGAAACTTTAAAAATAATTCTGTCCTGAGGGAGTGTGTTAGTTGTAATTTTAATTGCAATGTACTCACACATTTTAATGGCAATGTATCATTATTTATATTTCATTCCAGAACCTGAACAAGAAAGTAATTAAATCCTGAAATTTAGTTAAAACAAACAAAAAAATCCTGAAATTTAAGAATATGGATTAGGATTAAGTGAAAAATACTTGAGAAATGTCTGTGTGTTCGACAATGAATCTGGATATGTACTCTAATGTGCTGAGAGAATTTATTCATCTTTCTAGTAACAGAGATTTAGAATGAGATAGTGGATAAATGATCTTTTATATTTACTATATACCCAAAGTATTAAGGCTTACAAATAACTTAAGTTGTAATGATTTAACATAGATTCAGTGTTCTCCCTATCATTGAGTCAATTGATTCGAATTGATCCAACCTTCTCCCTATTATATATATATATATATATATATATATATATATATATAGAGAGAGAGAGAGAGAGAGAGAGGCCCAATATAAAAGTTCTAGAAGGAGAGAACACAGTGAGTAGGAGAGTAGTCAAGGACAAAAATGGGTAAGCATTTTTCAAATATTGTAAAAACCACATATCTACCTATTTAGAAGTCATTAGTCTTTACTTAAAGAAAAGCAATAAAAATGTATATTGTTTTTAATCTTTTTACATACCAGTGTCTAGTGACATGATTGACAACTTGAGGCTTTGAAATAAAGTCCACAGAAATTGAATCTCCATACTGTTTCCTTCAGAATTCATTTTTTCCTACATTTCTGGTTTCTCTGAAAACTTCTACCCATGCACCCTAACCTCTACTAGGCTTTTCATTCCCCCAAAATGTTATGAATTTTGTCTTACTTTTCTCTATATGTCTCCTCTCCTGGGGAGGTTTTCTACCTCCTTATTCTCATCTCAGCTACACTCCTACTTAATCTTTAAAGACGAAACTCTTTTACTACCTACTCTTTGAAGGTTTCTCTTCTCTGTTAGAGACATTATTTCCTGACACCTCAGCTTCAAATCAGCTACCTGCATTCAGAGTTATTCCCTGGAATGGGATATCTTCCAGTAATCTCTGAGTCACTCATTCAAACATTCCACCATTCAATTAAAACTCTCTTACTTCCAGTTCACCTACTAATGAGAAAAATAGTTTTTTAAGTCATGGAGACTTGCAATCCATTATCTCCTGCAGTTTCAACTATCGGTCTCCTTCTGTCTTTACTTTCTCCACCATTCAACCATCATTCCATGCTCTTCTGTTAAAATTCAGCCCAGAGCATGATCCTGGAGACCCAGGATCAAGTCCCGTATCAGGTTCCCTGCATGGAGCCTGCTTCTCCCTCTGCCTGTGTCTCTGCCTCTCTCTATCTCTCTCTGTGTGTATCTCATGAATAAATAAATTTTTTAAAAAATCTTTAAAAAAGAAAAATTATCTTTTCTCCTCACCTTCTGTTGCACCTGGCTGTTGCAATCCCAACTGTGGATGGACCTAATCTATGTACCCCTGCCAACCCTTGAACAATTTAACTGGTCACAAATATTGGTAGCACCCTAATGTGGTTACCTACTTCAAGTAGGCACTCAACCCTTTCCATTCATCACACCATATTTCTCCATAAAGAGTGTTTCATACCTTCTCACGCTCCTGAAACCTCTGACCACCAATCCTCCCTCACTCCCTCCATTCTCAGCTAATGCTTCATGTTCCCTACGGAAAATTAAGATTTTAAGTTGGATCTCCCTCACCTTTCAGCATGATATCTGCAGATCAACCTACATCTGCACCCACCTTCTCTCTTTCTTTCTGCCAAAACAGAGCAAATATCCCCTTCTGTCACAAGTCTTCCACACATGCTCTGTGTTCCATCCTTTCCTATTTCTCAGGGACCCTGCCCTCATTTTTCTAAAGAAAAAAACTTCTGATGATTACCCCTTCAACCGTTTCTTCTATTGCTTTCCATCAGCATTTAAACATGCTCTATTGTCTCCATTATTTTTTTTAAAGATTTTATTTATTTGTATGAGAGAGAGAGAGAGAGAGAGAGAGAGAGAGAGCATGAGAAGGGGAAGGGGTAGAGGGAGAAGCAGACTCCACACAGCAGGGAGCCTGATGCAGGACTCCATCCTGGGACTCCAGAATCATGACCAGAGCTGAAGGCAGTTGCTTCATTGAGCCCTTCAAGTGCCCCTATTGTCTCCACTATTTAAAAATCCCTTCCCTGTTTCTTCATCCCCCTCTACATATTGTCATATCTCTTAACTTCCATCCTAACTGTATCAGTTACAGGCTGAACTGCTCTAGCAGTGACTTAAGAAAGGTAGAAGTAGATTTTATTCTCATCATAGTACAGATATAAGTGAGCAGCCTATGGTGGGTAGAAATCTCTGCTTCACAGAATCATCCAGGGATGCTGCTAGGACTTGGCTCTGCTGTTGTCAACACGTTGCTTCCATCTGTAGGACAAAAGCAGATACTTCTGTGGTAGCCATAGCCCAGCCAGCAGGAGCAGGGAGAGTTCAGAAAAGCCACTTGTCATTTAGGAGGTGGACTGCACTTGACATAGGGCCACACCCTGGACAAAGGAGGCTAAAGTGTCTCTCCTTTGATGGCATCACACCCAGCTCAATTCTTAGAAAGAAAAATCAGAGAATGGATATGGGGGCAATTATCACTTTCTGTCACCAAAAGCAAACTTCTTGTGCTATCTACACCCCACTTACCTCAATCCCCTCTTTTATTAAAAGAAAACAAAACCAGGGGCATCTTGGTGGCTAGTCCATTAAGCGTCCAACTCTTAATTTCGGCTCAGTTCATGATCTCAGGCTCATGAGATCAAGCCCCTGGACAGGCTCCATGCTCAGCTGGGAGTCTGCTTAAGATTCTCTCTCCCTCTCCCTTTGCCTCTCCCCACCCACCCACCCACCAAGACCACACTCCTGCATGCCCATGCTGTCTCTAAAATAAATAAATTAATCTTAAAAAAAAAAGCTTGTTTTGAAGTATATGTATAGAGAAGTACATACAACTTATATGTAAGTTTAACAAATAAATATAAAGCAAATATCTATGTAACCACCACTAGGTCAAGAGACAGAACGTTACTTCCCCAGAATTCCCTTAATGTATTCTTCATTCCCATTGGAGTCATTTTCTATCTTTTCTTTTATAGTCATAATTGCATTGTAGTTTTACCACATAGGTATAGAGCTTAAATGCTATAGTCTAGTTTTGCCTTTTTTGAACTTTTTTATTGTGTTCCATGTTTACCTGAACTGAAAGTTTCGTATAGGGTTTTGTCATTTTCCTGCTCAAACTTCTTTAATTGCTTCCCATTATACCTGGAATGAAATTTACAAGTGCACCTGTGCCTCTTTCCATCTCCAACTTCACCTTATCCACTCTGTTCCTAGAAAAACTTGATTTCTTTCATTTTCTCAAAACCACCGTGCCCTTTTTAGTCTCATGGCTTTTGCTCAAAATACTGTTGTCATCCTTCAGACCTCAGCTTCTAGGTCACTTCTTCCAAGAGGCCTGCCCTCATCATCCAGGCTTAGTGAAATGTTTGTTGTGTTCTCTCTTGGAACTGTGCAATGTTTCTTCATTGAACTTGTTTATTTATATGTATGACTATTTTACCGTCTCTCTCTCTCCTATAAGCTAGTAGCCTCTGTGAATATAGACGGATCTGTTTAATTCATCACCAAATCTGCAAAATCCAGTACAGTACCCGGCACATAGTAGGGACATGAGATAAATTTGTTGAGGAAGTCAATAAATGCTTTAATCATTCTTTTAAGTGCCTGTCCTCCCAAGAAGCCTACAATCATCTTGAGGATTAATTGTGAACCAAGTTGAATTAAATTAAATTAAATTAAATTGACTTGAGAGGCAGGTTAGCACTAAATTCCATTGGAATTTTTTTTTAAAAGTAAGAACACCTCAAGAAAAAAATCTTATAAAATGAACTCTTTATTATTTTAATGAAAAATAACCTTCAAAGGAAATAAAATATGCAGGGGTGTTATAAATTTAAAAAGTTACATAGGCTCAATCATATAAATTAACTAATATGTTATGTAATAAACCTTGAGATATTCCTATAATTTTAAATCCCCAAAGAACAAAATCCTTAAAAACAAAGCAGAACAAAATTATGTGAAACCAATATAGAGCCAATAAATTTATTTTATAAATGTGTTCCCTCTGTGTTTTATCATCTTGTCTCCTTACCGACTTTGAGCTGTAACACTGCTCATCTTTTCAGAATTCTGCTATTATGTTGTCTGTGCAAGACAGTCATACCTGTGCTCTTGGCATTTCTCAATATTTATATATCCTGACCAAAATAATAACTGTTGTCATCTTAAATTTCAGCATATCTTATATATTCTTTCATGTAGTGCATTTTGATGCTCTCTAAATATATGCTATTTCTTTTTCCTAAACTAGTAACATAGTACTACAGATGAATTATTTTTTTCCTGAATCTTTGCTCACCAACTGCTCACTGAATTCATTCACTTTAGCATTTTCTGTTTTCCCTTCTCTGTTTCCATGGAGAAGTATGTCAGTGATGTGTTCGACTCCATGGAAACAGATGAGCATCTCTTTCTACATACACAACTAATTAAATCGAACGCTTTCTATGCTGCCCATTGTTCTGGAGGACTGAAGAGGCTTTCCCTGAATGAGACATCATTTTAGTAGCAATTTTTAGTGTTTAACCTAATACAACAGATTCATGTTTTAACATAATATTACGTCCTCGATTCAGATGATTTAGGGCTCAGTCCTGGGTCATAAAAGCATAAACTTACATAGTAAAATCTTTATATACCATGGTTATCATTTGTAGATATGTAGCTTTTTCTCTTAACTCTAATAATTTGGATGAATGCCAGGTATATTTGATGATAGAATTTAGTATATTCATTTTAATACTATACAATGTGGT